AGCTGGAATTAAAGGCCTGCAGCGTTGCTTATGGGTCTCAAAGGTGCAGAGTTTGAAGGTGCACACTGGGGGGGTTGTGAATGGCTTTGGGTGGTGGTAGGGGAGTTGATGCGACAGGGTGCAAAGGCCGTTAGCTGGCCAAGGGGTGAGGTGAAAGAGGGCCGGCAGTGGGGGGGCGACCATCTGGATCGGATTGTAGAAATTCCTCAGGAAGAGTTAGTGAGTAAAGGCCAAGATGGAAAAGGAGACGGGGGTCACAGAGCTCTCACCGTGTGTGTGAGTGTTTATTTTTCTTTGGCTCACTCAGTGTTTCAGCTTATTGTGCTGGTTTTGCCATTGTTGGAGAGGGTTTGGACCCAACAGGGTTTTGGACCCAACAGGTTTTGGAATTTGAGATTTTTTCAATAACATTCATCTGAGAAACATTTCAGGTGTGAGAACCTGCCCTCTGCTGTGGGTGACTGTTTTTCTCATGGTGATTCTCAGTTGGTCGGGTTTCATTGGCAGGAAAATATTTGAGCAACTTTTATACTGTCAGTGGTACCAGAACCTGAACTGTTGTCCAAAAGACAAGAGGCTTTGTGATTTTTGTTGTCTATTTTTAATTTGTTTCACAAAAATGAACACTGAAAATCAAACATGCAAAATGTAAAAGTTTACACATCACAAGAAACATAGTGTTTTATGCATGTTCAAGCTGAAACTTCTTCCTCTGAGAGTCAACGGCTTCTTTTAAACAGCTTCTCAACCAGTTGAACATTTCTGACTCCTATACAGCAACAAACAGTTATAAAACATTCTTTATTTTAATATATTTTTTGTCATCTGAAAGCTAAAAGAACTGTTTAGTTCTGAAGGAAATATGCTGCACAATTGAATGTTAAGAAGGTTAAACTAATAAATCATCTCTATTTTTATGCGTGCAAACACAAAGATGAGATTCATCAGACCTAACTCTTCCCATTCTCCCCCTCTGTGGCTGTTTGTGCAGTTGGGAGGTCAGTGGGTTGCAGTCATGCTGTCCCTGGACGAGCCCCTGGACTTGAAACTCCCTCGGCGGGCCACTGGGAGGGACAGAGGTGCGCGCTCTCCAACCCTCTCACTGCTGCACCCTGAGCGTGTTCGCCAACTCCACATGACGGATGATGGGACGGCAGTTATAGAGCCCGCGTCACCAGCATCTCCACACTCAGGTAGACACCAAATATGAGTCTTCACCTCCTAGCTCTTCTTCTTGTTTATGGTGTCTTTTTCAAGCTGCGCTCTAGAAATCAAACGGTTGACCTACAACACACAAGTATCAGTTCTTGTAACGGATTGTTCTGAAAGCACCTATTGAGACCAGGATCCCTGTAACAGATACCTTAAGGGAGAGGTCACTCCCACATGCGTTTGTTTTTTCAGGTGTGCAGGTGGTCCCTCATGACCGAACAGATACCCCAACCCCTCCTGCGGTGGACTTGAGCATGTCTCCCTCCTCCCGTCACACCCCCAGTTCTCCAGAAATGAACAACTACGTCCCCTCAGGGGTGAGTACGACACACAGACATCTGCAGGCACAGACAGAAAGCTTTAACCAGCCTTTATTTACTCATAGAAACCTATATAACTCAGACAGAACCCTCTTGTTTCCTTGTAGGTGTTTGAAAAATGAACACTGCATTTCAGCAGCAGGCTTAGTGGTTAGCACTGTTGCCACACAGTAAGAGGGTCCTAGGTTCAATTCTCGATTTGGACCTGGAGCCTTTCTGTGTGGGGTTTGCATGTACGTGTACCTCGTGTACTCCGGTTTCTTCCCACAGTCCAACATGCATGTTAAGTTGCCTTCAGGCCAGCCCTCCCTCACAAAAGCAATGTGTCAAGTCAAGTCAAGTCAGATTTATTTATAGAGCACATTTAAAACAGAAACTGTTGCCAAAGTGCTTAACAAAAATATCACAACATCAAATAAAATGTAACAAGATATATTTACAGCACATGGAATAAAAATATAAAACAGAAAACATAATTAGAAACAATGAAATACTAAATCAGATCACCTTGTGTCAAAAGTCAAGGAAATAATAACAAAAAGCATAAACTCAGTCAGAAACAATGAAATACAATCAGATCTGATGACCTTGTGTTAAATAGGAATAATAACAAAAGCATAAACAGAATCAGCATCAATGAAAAACTAGATCTAAATCCGATCACCCTGTGTTAAATGTCAATGAGTATAGGTGTGTTTTTAGGAGAGATTTAAAAGCAGAGACTGAGGTGGCCTGTTGAATGTTGATGGGCAGATTGTTCCAGAGTTTAGGGCCCATGACTGAAAATTCTCGATCTCCTCTGAGCTTCAGCCTGGTTTTTGGTACGGCCAAAAGCAGCTGGTCTGATGATCTCAAAGCCCAAGAATGAGTATAAAGATGAAGAAGGTCAGAGAGGTATGATGGTGCGAGGCCGTTGATGCACTTGAATGTCAGCAGGAGAATTTTAAAATTGATTCTGACACGCACAGGAAGCCAGTGAAGGGAGGACAGAACTGGAGTAATGTTCTCAAACCTGCGAGTTCCTGTTAGTAGCCGAGCTGCAGCATTTTGTACGAGCTGGAGACGTGAAAGTGAAGCCTGACTAATCCCAACATAAAGTGAGTTACAGTAGTCCAGCCGGGTTGTAATAAATGCATGGACTAGTTTTTCAAGGTCGGATCTGGACAGAACGGACTTAAGCTTTGCTATCTGCCTTAGCTGAAAGAAGCTTTTTTGTAGAACACAGTTGATCTGTTTATTAAACTTAAAGTCCGAGTCTAAGACTACCCCGAGATTGGTAACCGACTGCTTTAGATGAGGCTGAAGGGAGTGCAGGTTTACAGGATCAGTTACAGAGGTAGAGCTTGGGTTAAACACAATGACCTCAGTCTTCTGATCATTAAAACTCAAGAAGTTTGCAGCCATCCAAGTCTTGATGTCATCAAGACATTTTAGCAAAGGGTGGATGGAGCAGGAACTGTTGGGTTTTAAAGGCAGATAAATCTGAGAATCATCAGCGTAACAGTGAAACGAAATACCATGTTTCCTCAGGATGGACCCCAGGGGGAGCAGATACAATGAGAACAGAAGGGGTCCAAGAATGGACTCTTGCTGGACCCCACAGGAAAGAGGGACAGAAGCAGATAAATGATTGCCAAAGTTAACACAAAAACTCCTGTCACTCAGATACGAACGGAATCATTCTAGCGCCACCCCTGTAATCCCAACCCGGTGTTCTAGCTGTGACATAAGGATGCTGTGATCAACAGTGTCAAATGCAGCGGAAAGGTCGAGGAGTACCAGGATCGCAGACTGACCAGAGTCATTCGCTAGCAGAATGTCATTACAGACCCTTACTAAAGCTGTCTCGGTGCTGTGCAGTTGTTTAAATCCTGACAAAAAAAACCCTCAAAAATTCCATGTTGTTAAATAAAGGTAAATAATAATATTACATAATAATAATTTCAGTGCAGGAGTTGGTGGCCGAACTTTACTCTGTTTTGCAGAAAGAGAGAGACAGACTCGGCATGCTGGGGTCATTAAATCAGGAGCACCATGGGGTTGTGTCACACTCACATAAGGCAATCGTGTTGTGCAAGTGATGGGAGGCCTCTTATCAAGCAGGTCTTGTCTTCCCAACAAATGTCTTTGTCTGCGCAGCTTGCACTCAGTGGCCCTGCTGGCATGATGCTTGCATGTGTGTGTATGTGTGTACATGTATAATCAGATTTAGGGCAAACCACAGCCATGCAGACCTCATGCCTCCTAATTTAATTCCCGTGCAATTGAATCTAGACATGCTGGCTAAGGCCATTCAGCCACCCAGTGCCCCCCTGAGCTGTGCTGCTCACTTATCCCCTGTGGACATCAGCAGGACACTACTACCCTCTGTGTGTCTTACACATTTTTCATATGGCAAACACTCACATGCCTTATCCTCTGTGGTCTTACAAAGCAGCTTGCATAGTTGTGCACAGAAAGCTGCATCAAGCCTTTTCCTCGCTTCGTCTTTGCTCCCCTGCATCTTCAATTCTACTTGAGCTGAGGTTTTCCTCTGAGTGAGTTGGTGCTTTCGTTCTTCGAGACCCAGTGGCTCATTGATTCTCAAGGCTCTCTCAGGGAGCTCAGGGATGTTGGGAGGTTTTGTAGCACACAGCAGGTAACTAGTAGAAGAAAAGTGGAGCGGATTCTTTGAAAAGAGCGACGAGAATCAGCAGTTCAGCAGGAATAGACGCCTCTTTTATTCTCTTTCAGTCAGTGAGAACATTTCACAGGTTGTTTAGCTGATGGTCTGATTTCAAGAGTGCAATGCTTTGGAGTTGCTTCTTAGAACAGCAACTGCACAAGTGCTTTCACTGTAGTAAGGATTTTTATTGTATATTTGAAGCTTTTATGTTGCACTCAACATGTAACTTGTATCTTTTTATTGGCAGATTCTTTTGTCAATTTGTTTGTTACACTATTTTATAAGTTCACTCGGACTGACATTTGTTCTTTGAGCTTCTCTACAACAGTTTGACATAAATAAGTAATTAATGTTCTCGTCTCTCACAGGCATTCCAATTCTTTGTGCCAATTGGACCTGGGGCAGGACTTCACTTGCCGTCCTCTATGTTTATTGGCCAAACGAACGATAAGAGGGCCTCTCCTGACCTTTCATCAGATGAGCAACTGGCCTGTCGCTGGAAGAAGGTGAGACTCAGAAAGTTCACGAAAAAGACGTTGCACTAAAACATAAAATTAAAGCAGCATTGTCATTACAAAGGCTTATCAAAATCTCTTTCCTTCCTTCAGTGTCATCTGCTTTTTGACTCCTTACAAGATCTAGTGGACCACGTCAATGACTTCCATGTCAAACCTGAGAAAGATTCTGGGTACTGCTGCCACTGGGAGGGCTGTGCTCGAAAAGGAAGGGGGTTTAATGCAAGGTAAGAATTTATTTGACATTAGGTAGAGAACGCAAGAAGTAGATGGTCAGATTAATAACATTATGTGTGCATGCATGCAGGTACAAAATGCTCATTCATATTCGCACTCATACCAATGAGAAGCCCCACCGCTGTCCCACCTGCAACAAGAGCTTCTCACGCCTGGAGAACCTCAAGATACACAACCGCTCACACACAGGTCAGTGCTCACAGAGAGCAGCAAAACATAAATGACTTTGGGCAGAGTTAACGGTAAGTAAACATCGGAGTTTCTTTTTATTTACAACCACAAACCTGAAAAAGTTGGGACATTGTTTAAAATGTTAATAAAAGCAGAATGCAGTGATCTGCAAATGTCATAAACCCATATTCTGTTTTTATTTACTTTTTCCACAACGGCCCAACTTTGTTGTAATCAAGAAGAAACTCAGATGTGAACATGTAATATTTTGATGAAATCTCATGTGTGTAATCTCCCCTCGCTGCAGGTGAAAAGCCCTACATTTGTCCCTACGAGGGCTGCAACAAGCGCTACTCCAACTCCAGCGACCGCTTCAAACATACACGCACGCACTACGTAGACAAGCCCTACTACTGCAAGATGGTGGGCTGCCTGAAGCGTTACACAGATCCCAGCTCTCTGAGGAAGCACATCAAAGCGCACGGCCACTTTGTGGCTCAAGAGCAGGGCTCCCCAGGTGGCGTGGGCTCTCTGCTGAAGGGAAGTCAGAGTGGAGGGCTCGCTACTGGTGGTGGTGATAAGGATTCAGAGTTGTCCTATTTGAGCGGAGCTCATATCATCATCCCTGGAGCAGCAGCTGCTCTTCTGGGAGGTCATGCCCTGCAGGGCTTGGGTAGTGCCCTTCCTCTGTCCCCCCTCAGTTCTAGGCCCCTGGACCTCAGCACTCTGGGAACCTCCAACTCCCCTCCAGCCAGCTTTGGAGGCACATCCATCTTGTCCTTCAGTGGTTCACCTCTGGGCATGGCCAAGGCTCCTCTGCTCTCCCCGTCGTTTCCCTCTTCGATCCTTGGACTGCCAATGGTTCCGATGCCGGGGGCCACACCTGAGCGCCGGGTCCAGAGCCACCTGGCAAAGAAAGGCATAGGAGAGGAAGCCGAGGATGAGGTGCCTGGGGGGGTCCTAAACCTCTCAACAGGAGGGTCTCATGATCCGCTGTCCTGGGTGGTCATCCCCCCAGGTGCTGTGGTGCTGAAGCCAGCTGTAGTCAACTGATATGCACACACACAGACGTACACAAACACATGCACGCACACACACACACATACACATTCCAGAAGAGCTCAGGGGGTTGAGGTCAATGCCATAGTGAGAGAATAAGAGGTTAAAGGTGACTGCACAATCAGTTCCAGGCAGTGCATTAAGGACGGGTAAAAGAAAAGAAACTAGTGGAGAAACCTACCAGGTAAACACAACACCTCACATGTTTTAAATATTCAACAACCTGTACAACGCAAGCCTCTTGAATTGAAAACCTAAACTCGGGGCCCAAGAATTATATTCAGGAAAACGTTGCGTCCTGTCTTTTTAATCACAAGGCCTTACAAACAGGCTCCTCTTTTGCTTTCTTGTTTTATAGTTTATTCATTCCTGCTGGTTCTGTGGACAGGGACCATAAATGTGCCGTTCTCAGTGATCCGTGTTCTTGCAAAAGTCCTCATTGTTAGATATTTATATGACAGTGTGCCTCCAGCTTAGCGGTGAGATACAAACATGAATGAAGCACTCACAGTTAGGCAAATGTGCATGTAATAGGATGATATTTCATATTTTAAAGGTATTTTTCACAGGATGATGTGAATAATATAATGTAATTCAGACAAGCTTGCTGAACCAAAGCAAGTGAACACAGACTTTCCTGTATTTGTCCAGAGGACAGGTCGGCTAAACGGAGCACTTAATGGTGTCAACTGGTTTAAGTACTGAAACCTCAAAACTGCTGCTAACCTCTCTGCTCCTCCAGTGCAGCATAATAAAATGCTGGGAACGAGCAATTTTTCTGACAATCTGTCCCTGGTTTGGGAAGTGTGACCAACACAGACCAGACTAGTTCACCAGAATGCTAGGTGTGCAGACGGGGCTTTTAGGATTTAGACTTTATTGATGTCTTAACACAGACAAATGGTGTTTCATCACCTGACCATGACCAATCATCATTTTCTTTTTCTTCTCAAGTGAAATTTATCAAGATGGTTCAGAGTTTGTAGAAAGGTTATGAACATTCAATATCTTACCTGTTGTAGATGGCTCTAAATGATTTCAGTTTAGAGAAATAAAGTTTGATCTTGATTGGATTAGCAAGCTAATACTGTAGTTTGAGTAGGTAAAAACCAAAATGCACTGCTGCTGTCTGAACAGCTCCAATCTCAAATGCATTTTAATGGTTCATGCAAATACTATTTAATTTTTTTTGTCATGGCTCTCAGTTTCGTGGTTATTCCAGCAGAAATTTTTAAATATTCCTGCTTGAATTGTCTCAGGTCGGACAGGAAGTAATCCTTGCTGCTATTTAGCTTGCAAATAACTATTGTTTAACGTCACAAAAATCAAGTCAAAATTAACATAATGCAAGAACAAAGTCCAGCTTCAAAATAACACTTGCACACTTCAGTTCCAGAAGACTTTGTAAGAGCTTTAAACTCTCCCAAAGAGACAAATCTGTTACATTTTAGTGTGGAATGAAAATTATTGTCCATGGTGTAAAATAAGAGAACATTGTTCTATCAGGCTCAGAAAACATCCTGGGAACTCTGAAGAGGAGCCAACAGGAGGTCCAACTCTCATAACAGGCCTTCAACGTATTAAAAAAAATTACATAAATAGGAGGAGAGTTTGCCCACTACAGCTCTGCACATAAAAATATACAGATTTTGTCTCATTAGATCTAAAGAGGGCCAATAACTCAGATTATAGAGTACACAATGATGTGTGCTACACAATGAACTGAAGAAGCAGACTGCTCAAGAATAATGTCACTATAGTGGAGAACGTTTAAAATGTAGACTGAACTGATATTTTTCCTGACTGATACAGTTAAACAAGCTCTTATTTAATTTAAAAAAGCACAATCTAACCAGCATTTGTACTAAACAGTTAATATTCACTAGAAAGACCATCATTCAGTCAAATACCAAATACTGGATGAACTCTAATGTGACAAGTGATCATGTAAAACTGACAACTGTGTGAAGGTTTATAAAATACACTCTTGATCTGCTACGAAAGTTTTCAGACTGGAGCTGTTTTTAGACGGCAGCAACCCCCGTCCCACTCAGACGAGCAGTTGAACCGAGTTTCTTCAAAATGTTATTCGAAGAGAAGTCTATAAAAAGACGTATATTAATAGTTCACAACCTTTCCACAGAACTCCACTTTAAAATTTCTGAACTTTTGCTTTCAAGGCCCTGGTGTGTCTGACTCCCCCCTCTGGCAGAACGTGATGAACATCCTGACTGTCCAGCTGCTTTACCATAATTCAATCAACGCAGCCAGCTTGTGCTTGAAAGGACCTCTGTGGTGATAAACACTACAGTCTTTATTTTTTCCCCCACATTTTAACTAAATCTGACCTCCAACCAGCTGCGAAAAACAGGTGCTGGTCCACTTATCAGCTTCAACAACATCCTGTTGTGACAAAATTACCTGAGGAGGGACCGATGGGATGTTCATGGTGCGTCAGTGAGTCGGGGGAGGACTGATGCACTCAGTGCTGCTTACAGCTGGACTCACAGGAAGCCACACTATTTCAAACTGCCTCATTTTATCCTGTCCGTAGGAGCAAAAAGGACAAAAGTCTTCTAGGAAACTTATGGTTTGATCAGGCAGTCCACATGCACTTAATATACAATTTATAACATGTTGCTTTAGAGTCAGTTGATTAAAAAAGTGGTTTGCTCTTATTTCGTTTTTCTGCGAGAAGATTTGTTGTGGGGTCGTTTACGACTTGTCCCTGCATGTGTCACTGCCATGTAGGAGAGGATGAGGAGCAGGAGAGGAGGCTCTGAAAACAAACACTAAGACTGACGACTCCTCTCATCACTCTTCTATCTCTCCTGTTCCCATCTGATGATTTCGCTCATCTTATTTTGCCATTGCCCTCTCTAATGGGTGATTGATCCACCCATGGTTGTTTTATATTTTTTGTCTTTTTTCTGTTCAGACGAGACATTTTCTTGTGATGTTGATGCTTCTTGTGTTTTCCAGTCAGCTTTCTGCTGTCGAATTTGGGTCTTTAATGGGTTAAAATCAGGGAGAGCTTTTTCTAAAGCTGTGGTTGTCAGCTTCACTTTGGTTGCCAGAGGGGTCGTTAGAAAAATTAAAATGCCACGAGGCAAAGTTTTGTCAACTTTTCTGTGAGAAGTTGAGGCCTACGTTGCGTAAATTCATTCTCCAAAAACAAACTTCTGCATCCTAAAACGTTTTATTTTGTTCAATTTTACTTCAAGGACGGAGATTTCTTTGGTGACCGTTACTTTTACAATACAGTTCTAACGTTTTTTTGTGCTAAGCTGAAACAAATAGCCCAAAACATATCATATTTCAACTAAAGAACACAAGGGAGGAGTAATACTGATAATAATAAACATTAATATTTTTTTCTTTTAAAAAAAACTTTCTTATAGTCAACTTTTTGTGACTAAAATACACAAAAAAAACTTTTATATAAAAGTCATCCATTTTGATATTGAAGTTTTCACATTAGATCTGATGAAAAATATTTAGACAACTGATTAAGCACTGATTTATATAACTGTCCAAGTCACAACGTGTTGTAGACTTCATGAAAATATGATTTAAACTTCTCCAACATGAACAGAACTTTATGAGAACATATAAGCAAAACTCTGAGGGCATTTAAAGTTGATGCTATAAGCTGTAGTTGAGCTGTGCAACACGTAACATGCTCAGCAAATATTCCCTTTTCGTCTCTTCTCAGCATCAGGACTTATTACTCATAAACTGCAGAAAATCTTCAAAAAGGTGCAGAAAGTAGAAATTCATATTTAAATTTATGGTTAAATTACAAAAATTTAGAAATTATTTAACGATCATTTTGCACACGTCATTATCGAACATAAAGAAGGTTTCATGCAGCCTTCTGTGCTTTGCAAGAACAAAATTAAACTTTGAAAACTACATAAAGCCCCAACATGCAAAACACTTCATTAAACAATAGTTCAACATTGTTGCTTCTTACATCCGATTCCTGTTCACTGATGCAAAACAAGACGAATCAGCAAGAAGAAATTACATCTCACTTGTTCTGTTGACGTGTCCAAATCACAATCGTGTGGTTAGAAATAAAACACCCTTTTTTTGTGATATTTTAGAGGCCAATACAAATTCTAAAGTAAATATGATTTATTTGAATATTCCATTGATTTAATCTCCCCTTTAAACGTTTTTATGTTATCTTTATTTTTTATCTTGAAAAAGGGCTAGCCTCCACATCCAACTGTGTAACGACTGAATATGAAAGAGTGCGAGCGCAAAGGGAAGGGCTGATTGAATAATTGAGTGGACAGGGAACAGGGATTGATGAGGGCAGAGGCTGGGAGCCAGCAGAGAGAATGAAAACGCAAAGGATGACTGTCCTGTGCTGCCGCTCTCCATCTGGCCACCTACCCAGCAAATGGTCCTCTCAGCTCTGAAGCCGCCGACTGTGCCCAGTGTGGCAGCCGCTCAGACATACCAGTAGAAAACTAGGTCACTGAACTCTTCCTGCCCTCTGATTTCCCCTCCCGTTTAGATTAAACTCAACGCTCATTCTCCCTCTTCCTGACCACCAAAACTTTATCCAGAAACAAAGCAAGGGACCACAATCCCAGTTGAAGCGCATCAAATGTCACTTTAAGGTCGTCACGTCAGGCTGAGATAAACAGAACACGTACGACCCTTCTGGTCCGTCTCCGGCTTTCAGGTCGGGTTCTGAAAAGAATCATTTATCTGTGAATGAACAGGCCTGGCATGTGATGTCATCAGAAGCAGGTTAGGTAAGCCAGACACGGTCTCCATGGCAACAGTGAAACCCACAGATGCAGCGGCTCTCCTTTTCCTCCTCGGTGTGTCTGTCTCTCCTCTGCTGGTCGAAGCCAGGGACAGAGATCCGAAGCGTGACAGCAGAAACCTGAACACGACATGGACCCTAACGGGGTCCACAAGAGTTCAATATGAAATAAGCTCCGTGATCCATTAACCCTTTGAGCTCTCAGCCTGTAATAAACTGCACTTTTCCTCCCCTTGTAGACTGTATAGATGTGGGGATTTTGTCTTTTTTTTTACCAGTTGTTTTGGGAACGATGATTTTTTTTTAATCATTCTGAAATGTTTAAGTTTAAATCTTTTCTGCTTGTTTCATGCTATAAAAGTGGTACGTGTTCCCGGGGCTGTTAAACCCTCACAGTTTTAAAAAAGCAGCAGAGCTGAGATCCAGGACACAAACATCATCTAACCTGGTTAGCATCCTGTTGGAAGTGCCACACAGTTGCACAAAGGGTTAATAACAAGACAAAGGCCACACAAGGCTTGTTCAAGTTATGTTTTTGCACATTTGTGAGATATTATGTCAGTATTTTATTTTTTTTCCAAGTGCCTTTTTATTATAGGTAAATATAGAACACTATATGAAAAAAAAAAAGATTATATGAAACTATATTTTTCCTGGCATCATGTTCTGTGGTTGAACATGCAGAATTGTTAGTTGTGAAAGTCTCCAGTTGGTACAACATAGCCGTGTTCTCCTGTTTTAGAGGAATTTTATTACGATATTGATAAAAATGTCAATGAAAACGACAAATGTTTAATAAAGTTGCATTTGATAAGTCTGCTGTCGTTGTTGTTTCAAGAATATGAATTAAAACTTATTAAAGAAAAAACATTTTCACTGTCAACCCTTTGAAGTAAAACAATCATCTTGCTCTGACTTAGTTACTTTCAGAGTTTCAGTCACGAACCATTCCTGGCTACAGTAGAAAAAGGCAATATATGAATAAAAATGTTTCAGTCAGACTCGAGGCTGAAAAAGAGAAGGCTTTATTAGGTTATAATTTACAGAGAATGGGGGAGAGGGATGAAGAAGTAGGATTTTATTCATTTTGTTTCTGCATCCTGCTGCGACTGCTGCTTCTGTTCTTGTGTCTGAATATTTAGCTCCTCTTCCAGACGCTCTTTAGCTCGGACCACCTGAACAAAAACAGTAACATACGGCTGAAAGAACAGGAAAGTGTAAAAAAATATTCCATTACAAAGTTAAGAATCATTACTCCAACCATAGCTATGTGCTGGAAGTCCGTTATATTTTGATACCATTCAACATGTATTTTTGTACTTGTACAAACCTGTTGCTGTATCATAAATTCTATTACTTGTCAAGTATTTTCTTTAGCATCTATAACTAGTCTACAATTTTAGTGTTGCAGAATAACATCTCTGCAAAAATAGTTAAACTGAAATTTAGGTTAATCTCCAACACTATTTTCATCACATTAGGAGTCATAAGAGCTGAGCATAATACAGTAGTTCCTGTCAATTTCATGGTTCGTTTATCGTGGACTCACTTTATCGTGGACTCACTTTATCGTGGTTTTTCTAAATAAGATTGGACATGACACAAAACTGGCTGATTGATGGATGTGCCGCATGATCGGCACGGAACTTTTATTTAAAATAAATTATTTTAAATTATTTAGCACCTGCTGCACATTTGTGCAACCCAGAGATGCAGGATAAACTTCCTCCTGCAGCTGATGGGTGTGGCCAAGAGCGCTTGCAGGTGGCAAAGAGCAGACGAGGCAGGGAGATGAAATCATGACATTCTGCGCTCTTTTAGAGCGTTTACAGTTTAGAAACGATTAGAATATCACAAGAATGTGGGAAGGGTTTAAAACGTGTGTGTATATACAGTGGGGCAAAAAAGTATTTAGTCAGCCACTGATTGTGCAAGTTCTCCTACTTAGAAAGATGAGAGGTCTGCATTTTTCGTCATAGATACACTTCAACTGAGAGACAAAATGAGGAAAAATAATCCATGAAATCAAATTGTAGGATTTTTAACGAATTCATTTGTAAATTATAGTGAAAAATACGTATTTGGTCAATAACAAACAAACAAGATTTCTGGCTCTCGCTGACCTGTAACTTCTTCTTTAAGAAGCTCTTCTGTTGTCCACTTGTTACCTGTACTAATGGACCTGTTTGACCTCATTATCTGTTTAAAAGACACCTGTCCACAGCCTCAAACACTCAGACTCCAAATTCAACAAATGGCCAAGACCAAAGAGCTGTCGAAGGACACCAGGAAGAAAATTGTAGACCTGCACCAGGCTGGGAAGAGTGAATCTACAATAGGCAGCAGGTTGGTGTGAATAAATCAACTGTGGGAGTAACTGTAAGAAAATGGAAGACATACAAGACCATTGATAATCTCCCTCGATCTGGGGCCCCACGCAAGATTTCATCCCATGGGGTCAAAACGATCATGAGAACGGTGCGCAAAAATCCCAGAACTACACGGAGGGACCTGATGAACGACCTGCAGAGAGCTGGGACCAAAGTAACAAAGGCTACACATTATGCAGAGAGGGACTCAAATCCTGCAGTGCCAGATGTGTCCCCCTGCTTAAGCCAGTACATGTCCAGGCCCATCTGAAGTTTGGCAGAGAGCACGTGGATGATCCAGAAGAGGATTGGAAGAATATCATGTGGTCAGATGAAACCAAAATAGAACTTTTTGGTAAAAACTCAACTCGCCGTGTTTGGAGGAAGAAGAATGCTGAGTTATATCCCAAGAACACCATACCTACTATGAAGCATGGGGGTGGAAACATCATGCTTTGGGTCTGCTTTTGTTCAAAGGGGACAGGATGACTGATCCGTGTTAAGGGAAGAATGAACGGGGCCATGCATCATGAGATTTTAAGCCAAAACCTCCTTCCATCAGTGAGAGCACTGACGATGGAACGTGGCTGGGTCTTCCAGCATGACAATGATCCCAAACACACCGCTCGGGCAACGAAGGAGTGGCTCCGTTAAAAGCATTTCAAGGTCCTGGAGTGGCCTAGCCAGTCTCCAGACCTCAACCCCATAGAAAATTTGTGGAGGGAGTTGAAAGTCCATGTTGCCCAGCGACAGCCTCCAAACATCACTGCTCTAGAGGAGATCTGATGGAAGAATGGGCCAAAACACCAGATACAGTGAGTGCAAACCTGCTGAAGACTTACAGGAAAAGTTTGACCTCTGTCATTGCCAACAAAGGTTATGTTACAAAGTATTGAGTTTAACTTGTAATTGACCAAATACTTATTTTCCACCATCATTTACAAATACATTTTTTTTAAATCCTACAACGTGATTTCCTGGATTCCCCCCCCCACCCCATTTTGTCTCTCATAGTTGAAGTGAACCTACGATGAAAATTGAAGTCCTCTCTCATTTTTCTAAGTAGGAGAACTTGCACGGTCATCCAGGACATGGTAGAGGAGGCTTCTCAATTCAAAGAGCAGGGAGTGTGGAGTTTATAACTCGAACCCCCCACTCTCTGTTCTTTGAATTGAGAAAGCTCCTCAGATGAGAAGTGAAACGTCTTCTGTTACAAATAAAGTCCAGTTGTTTTTGTCTTGAACTTTTTTGATTTTACTTACTACTTGTACTAGTATTCCTACTTCGCGGTTTTTCACTTATCGCGGGGCTTCAGGGTACGGATACCCCGTGATAAATGAGGGACTACTGTAACTGTAACTCTGAACACAGGACTATGAAACCACTGGTGGACCAGGAAGTCTCATGTTGATGCAGCAAATTATATTAATAAACTGCTCAACCAAATCTTCAGTTCAAGTTTAAATAAAATGGAAAACGTGAATTAGAACAACTTTAGGCTGAAAGTGTGGCAAACACTTTTTTCCCCCTTTCACATACTTTTTATTTAAATACACAAAATCAAAGAAAGAAGTTAAATTGTATTGGTGTATAATGAAAAGGTAATATCAGTGGTTTCATTCTGATCGTTTTTGTGCCTTAAATATTCACACTACATTATAGAGTTAAAATAATTTTCAGTTTATTTGAAGACTGTGCACAAAACACTTATCTTATGTTTGAAAATTTAAAATACTTACTTTTGATTGTAGATAAAATGATCCGCCCATTGACTTGTCGTTGACTTTAAAAAGGTGATCATAGTTCTGCAAGAGATAAACGTTTTAACGTTCAAGTGACAGCGTTTGTGCTTGATCACTACAAAAACACACACACACACACACAACTATTACGGTCAACGCTGTAATGATGCAGCTAGAAAATACACGCGATTAGTGGGTAATATAAAATATGTTTCATTTTTATGTGGACTTGCTGCCGTGCTTGTTATGAACTGCTGATTCTATTGCAAAGATAAACTTACTGTCATAAAAACTAACATTGCATGAACAAATTTTCTGTAAGGAAGCCACATGTACCTTCTGAAGCTCTTCGGGACTGAGTGTGGAGAGGTTGAGGATTTGCTGAGCCTCTTGCAGGCTCATCCCAGAGATGCTGGAGGCTGCAGCCGACTGCTGACCTGTCCGGCCACGAGCCCGCGCCGCTGCTTGACTTGCTGGGATTGAGAAAATACAACAGAGAGCCATATTATACACATAACAAAATAATATGACATCATTTACATCAGTCTGCTGTGAAATAACTTGGGCAACAGTTAAAATAAAATATTAATACAGCAGGAAAGGGCATTATTATAGAAATATAATAGGGTGGCACCAGAAGACAGTACTGCCTAAATGTTCTGTTTCAGAGTCATACCTGCATATTCTCGCTGTAAAGCGCGAGCAAAAGCCCGTCCCACCACCTGTGCTCCCATAACTACGATCTGTATAAGATATTTCGCCTGGAAAAAGAAACAAAGACAGATATTAGATCTGACAGAGATCACAGGCTGTGTGCTTTCCACCCTGCTTTTCTCCCTGTACACCAACTGCTGCACCTCCAGCCATGACTCTGTGAAACTTATTAAGTTTGCAGATGACACCACCCTCATCGGGCTCATCTCGGACGGTGATGTCTGCATACAGGAGGGAGGTGGACCGGCTGGTGACCTGGTGCAGCAGCAACAACCTGGAACTCAATGCCCGGAAGACAGTGGAGATGATTGTGGATTTCAGGAAAGCCACAGCCCCTCTGCCCCTCCTCACCTGTAATGATACCCCCATCACCACTGCAAATTCTTATCAGTTCCTCGGCACCACCATCACCCAGGACCTCAAGTGGGAGCCGACCATCAGCTCCCTCATCAAGAAGGCCCAGCAGAGACTGTACTTCCTGTGACAGCTGAAGAAGGCCAAGCTGCTGGCCAAGCTGATGGTGCAGTTCTACACAGCCATCATCGAGTCCATCCTCAGCTCCTCCATCACGGTGTGGTACGCCGGGGCCACTGCCAGGGACAGACTCAGACTGCAGCGCATTGTGCGCTCAGCTGAGAAGGTGATCGGCTGCAGCCTTCCATCCCTCCACGACCTGTACGTCTCCAGGACTGTGAGGCGAGCAGGTCGGATCACAGCTGACCCTGCACACGGTCTGTTCGAACCACTCCCCTCAGGCAGGAGGCTTCGGTCCATTAGGACCAGAACCTCCCGCCATAAGAACAGTTTCTTCCCCTCTGCTGTTGGACTCCTGAACACTCATAATGCTACCTCATAATTTCTGCTTTGGTTACATTACATCTGTATTATAATTGAATACTCCATCTGTACTGTTCTCTAAGCTTTTTTATTGTTTTCTATTGTATGGGTGTACATATGGTTGTTATGTTTTTAATTTTACTTTATTTGTGGGTGTACACAGGCTTATGTTTTATGTAATGTTCTCATTTTTACTTAATTTTTACTTAATTTTTACTTTATTTTACTTTATTACTATTCGCACCTTATGTCGAAGCAAATTCCTAGTTTGTGAACCTCGTTCATTGACATGGCGATAATAAACTGATTCTGATATTACGAAATCATCAGGGTCAAATGATCTGAACATGTCATGATGGGTGATAAAAGCTACATAAACATCAGCTGTATGGTATTTAGGCTGATGAAGAAGCAATGAAATACTGTGCGACGGTACAACTTTTAGCCGAACATTTGGAAACGTCATTACATAACAAGGAAATGGGTTCTCTTCAAAAGGTCATTGTTACAAACAGCGACTTCAACACATCGAAACGCCAGCTAAAACTGTTGCCAGAATAAATACAGAACATACAAAACGACGTTTTCTTACCATTTTAATGCGCTGCTTGGCCTGTTTTCACGCGAAACGCTGAAGGTTAGTGAAGGGTCAAAGTTCAAGCAACAACCAACGTTCAAGACGGATCAACTGCACTGAAAGTGTTTTTCACACTGACCCCTGCTGGCCGGGAGGGCGAACTGCAGCTCGAATCTGTACCTCCAAATTAACAAATACACAAAAACGGCAATAATAATATTCATAAAGGGGGAATTTGTACACACAATTTACACAAACTCTTGGCTAGTAATATGTACATTCTTCTCTAGATATGCACTTCTGTCATGGAGGATGACAGAATGACACTCCCCCGATGACACATGGTGGCGCAGAGGTTAGAGAGGTGGGCTTGTGATCCGAAGATCGCCGGTTCACGCCCCGGCCCCGACAACATCAAAATTATGGGTGAGGTAGGTGAAACACCCACACTTGCCCCCACCCTCATTCACCCCACTCTGGGCCCATGAGCAAGGCCCTTAACCCCACCATGTGCTCCCTAAAATAGGTCTCTCTTGAAAATGAGTTCTCGTGGCTCAATGAGACTAACCTGGATAAATAAAGGCTAAATGAAAAAAAGGATGCCAAACTGCTATTTTGAGTTTGTTTTTAACAATGCTTTTTGCAGTGACAGATCCATTATATTCTATAAAAATAATCAGAATCAGAATGCTTTTATTACCCTTGCACAGTGAAGTACAACAAAATTACTTCCTGTACAGCCTTCCTAAAGATGGACAGAAGTGAACAGGGGCTGCAGCTTCTACCTGCCTCTGTTGTTTAGATAAGAAAAAGGGAAGAAAACATAAGGATATA